ACTGGAAGGCAGATTAAGGCATGTCACAGTACACAAAATATATGAGTTAAATGCTTACATGACCCTCGATGTATCCCCTAAGTTGTGCAGCTTTCATGTTGGAAACGTTCATGAGCTTAATTGTGACCGCATAGGCGACTACTGCATCTGAAACACACAATGAAAATTCATTTACTGTTTGGAATTCTGTAAGGGTCGAGAGGACAAAGGGCAGGAAACTCATGTAGCGTCTTACAAACTAATAGAGGAACTATAAAGATACACAATTCACTTATAGAATAATATATATATATATATACTAATTATATTTTGATTACATAATGCTCTAAAAGCAGATTTTGTAAATTATTTAACAAAAATTATTTGTTTTCACAAAAATGTATAAACTCTTGAGATAAATTTTATAGTTATGCTATTGATATTGAATCAATATTTTATATTAAAATTTGTACAATGTTATAACTACACTCAACGCAGTAATTTTCAAGTGAAATCATTGAAGTATTTCAATATTGGAATTGCATCATAACTGAATTGCATACAATAACACAGAAGTACGTATAAAATTACTTGATAATACAAATCAATTAACTTCACTGCGCAGAATTGTGTATGGTTCCTAAACCGACATGATTTAACGATTGAACTTACAAAAGCTATCCACTTTAAATTAATTGGTTATTATACCAAGAATGACGTCAACATCAATATTAATCAATTTTCTACTTTAAGTTCACAGAAAAAGCATTTTTTTGTAATTATTTTATTTTTTACAGTTAGATCTTGTTGGTGCTTAGGCTGTGTTCATAATCGACAAACGCTAAACGAAACAACGTTAAACGAAGTTACATTATCATATAGTAAATAGTTAACTTTAAACTATATGCTAAAGAAAAAACATGAATTTAGTGTTGAAGTAGACTACGTTATAACAAATCAGCTTTAATTAAGTTAAGCGAGGTCTGAATGCTTAGGCATTGGAAAATGGTTCATCAACATTTGAAATTATCTGAAATTCAAGTGATTATAAAAATATATAATAGAATATATTATTTACTCAAATATTTCACGAATAACTTGTTAATTTTAAGTTAATTTTCTACAAGAATTCACCAAAATTTCAGTTCCACGTAAAAAACATTGTAAATAAAGCTTTCAGCAAATACGAAGTAGTTCGATTGCAGTGCATGGGTATTGTATTGAGAACCGAGACTCTCAAGAATGAAGGTTTAATTGCATACAGATTTTAAATAGAATTAATAAAAAACTGAAGTAATTAACAAAATATTTCATATAATGTATTATATAGACTGCAGTATTTCACAAATAAACAGTGAATTTTGAGTTAACTTTCAACAAGAATTGCACAATATTTCAGTTCCACAAAAAAGCATCGTAAATCAAGCTTTCAGGAAAAACGAAGTAGGGCGACTGCAGCGCCGTATATTGTTGCCTTTCGGAGGGTATACAAATTTGTAAAAATATAATAGAAACGATTCGCAATTTTTTCTCTTTTTCTTTCTTCAACGTAGGTATTTCTTTCTTTACGGAATAGCGTTTTTCCGGTGGAGTTTCCGGTCGCGGCTTGCCTTTCCCCATTGATAAAGTTTCCCTTCCGTCGAGGAAAACTACTTGAGCCCGAGTGGCACGCACACGACGCCGTTTAAAGGAGATCTCGTTGTATTTTTCTTCTTCTTTTTTTCACGAAAAGCATTTTCCCACGACGCTTGTACACTTTTTTTCCACCGTCTCCTCGTCCTACTTATGAGGAAAAGATAAAGGATAAAGGATAGAACCAACAACTCTCGAAAGTAAGACATTTATATTCACATGCATGTGCCATGATGCCCAGGTCGCTCCCTCATTGTTATATAAATACGGATTAGAGGCAGCCACTTTTATGTGCACTTACACTGCTGATTTATTAAGAGACAAAAGTATAGTACGGATGTAGATTTTATTATACCAATACATCTTATTTATATTATTCATATATGGATATTATTAATATTAAAATTATTTACTAAATTGTTATATAAATGTAGTACATAATAAAATGTTTCGGTTTCCTAACAATCTTTAGGAACAAATTATGTTCGAGAACCGAGGTTGTACTGTAAACTTAATAATACCATAATAAGTCCTGTAATATATCACGTAGTTTTGAGTTTGTACTAATTGTGTTAAATGATTCACTGTTCCAACAACCTTTAGAGATTAATTATATTCAATAACCGAGGTTGTACAGCAGTCTTAAAAAATTAAATTAATCACGTGATGCTACGTTTAAATTAATTGTGTTCAATGATTCGGTTAACGATTTATAGAAACAAATTATGTTCGACAACCGAGGTTCCATAGTAATCTAAATAGATACAAGAATATTATATGCGGAAATTGTCTAATCATAATTACGGATTATTTTTGTTAATTGTTGTTCCTATAAATTAGATAAACGTTTATTTAGTTCAGAGACAATAGTAATTACTGGAAGCAATTTAGACCATGCACCGTGGACTACCGCACACTAACGTTTGTTGATTCTACCTATTTACAATTAACGCAGGAGTAGCGAAGCGCTTCAATTGTCCCCAGTAAATAAAATCCTTCGTCCTTTCAATTCTGTTTTTTTTTCTTTGTTTGTACACTTTAACATCCCGACATTTCAATATTAGATAACTCCTTGCTCTCCGAGTCGAATCAATATTCGCGGGGGATGATTTCAGTTTACATGGGCGTTCTTAAAATATTAACTCGTCGGATGAAGGGAGGATGGTTGCAGGTCACGAGCTCCAACTGGGATCTGGATAAGCATGTCAAAGGAAATTATTATACAGCCGAGAGAAAGATACAGGGGTGCAGGAGGTATGAGACAGAGAGAGAGACTTAAAGCATGAATGACATACAAGAGACCGTCTTCCGGAGGTGCCCTTCTTAATCCGTTCTCACGGAATTCCGTTTGGTGTTGCGAATAAATTTTTGGCTAATAAGAAGGGAAATGAGGCTGCCAGGAACCCTTTAATTATAAATTAGTATTCTCCGGATGGCGTTTTTAAATTAGCTTTTCACGCGCCGGGAACGCTAATATTTCACTGTGCACCTTGGACAAAAGAATTGTCTTTCGCGGAGTAAAACGGAGGAAAAGAAAAAACTTCGAGGTGAAGGGATTCGGATAAACGTGCTTCAAAGCAGATCTCAATAAATTTCAAAGGTAATTGATTATAAATTGATGTTAACTCAATGAAATCACCTACAAATTTGGTGAATAAATCAGGTATTAATAGAAGTAGAGAAATTTTCATAACTTATTGTAAAATGTTAATATTGTAATATTATTTGGAGAATTTGGAACTTTATTCGATCCTAATAGTTTTTCGAAAATCGCATTTTATCAATAATCACTAATTGATTATAAATTAATGTTAAACTCAATTAATTCACCTAAAATTTGACAAATAAATCAAGTTTTAGTAGAATAGAGAAATTTGCTTATTATAAAATGTTAAATTTATTTGGAGAATACGATTAAACCTTGGTTGTCGAACTTAATTCGAACATAATAGTTGTTCGTAAACCAAATTTTATCAATAATCACTACCGTTTTCCTTGTAAGAATGAATTTATAAATTAATACAATTATTTAATATTTAAAAAGAAATTTATTGATGAATAAATCAAGTTTTAATAGAAATAGAGAAATGTGCGTGACTGATTATAAAACGTTAAGATTGACGAACTTACCTCAATCCTAATAGTTGTTCGAAAACAGAATTTTATCAATAACCACTAATTGATTAAAAAATGATGTTAAACTCAATTAAATCACCTACAATTTTTTTTAGTAGAAATAGAGAATTTAGCATCACCACTACCGTTTTTAGTGAATACATCAAGATTCAATTGTAAATAAAAAATGTTCCATGATTTATTATAAAATGTTTTGATTGTACAATCAATTGGAGTATACAGTAATACCTGGATTGTCTAACATAAGACATTCTTAATATTTGTTCGAAAACCAAATTTTCGCAATAACGAACGCCATAAAATAACAGAAATCCATAAAATAATGGAAAACAAATAATGAAAAAATAATTAAAATATTAAAAAATATAAATATTTAAATATAATAACATATATTTGAAATTCCTATATAATTGCATACAATGAATACAATAAATAAAATATGAGCGAAAATTTAACTTTATTTTATCGCTAGTATAGTTTCAACGTGTGTTCGGAAACCCAAGTGGTTTTTTGTTTTATGTTGAAAAAGTTATTAAGAGGTTCTGCTGTTATTAACATATTTTTTTGTTTCATTTTGTAATGAATTAAACATAATAAATAATGAAGTATTTAATTATAACTACATTAAAATTATAATGTGAATGAATATGAAATTATTACATTTTTTTTTTCATATGATTTTGTAAAATTTGTCTATATTAATGCTAGATTAAATATGTTAATCAGTAGTTTTATATTCAATATGATAAGTTTGCATTTTATTCAGAAATACATAAATAACTGAACATATTTTGCATTTATACGAGTAATGTTGGGATGATAGTGTACTTCAGGGGATTCAAAAATAAAATATTCGATTTCGATTCTCAAAGATGGGCAACGTTCCAACCAACAAATTTCAACGACATATGTGAACGCAAATACAGGTAGAAAAAAAAAACGAAAACTAATTCAGGTGTGGATTGAAGCCAAAACTGTGGTGATTACAATCGTTTAGTTACATAAATGTTTAAAGTGCATTTAGAAATATATGGAATAAATAAAAGTAAATTATAGAGAAAGATAATTACATTTTTGTATATTTTTATTAATTATAAAAATATATAAATAAAGAAAATTTCTTGAAGTTTTGAAAATGTATGAATATCTAAATATACATTTTGAAATAAAAAGAAAATAGAGTTGGAAAAGTATAATTTGCATAGGGAATTGAGGATTTTCCTGAACAATAGAAGCAATTATATAGTTCGTAATATAACAAATGTTAATGCCTCTAGATAATTCCTCGAATTTTCACAACGAGATGTACCAAGCCAGTGATGAAATTAGTTGTAATGCAGCAGGAAAACTAGTTTGTTTCTGTTTGTGCGATAATTGTTTGGAACAGTTTCGGTGGACAA